GAGAGAGAGAGAGAGAGAGAGAGAGAGATTGTATATACAAACCTTTGGGCTGTTGGGTGCGGGCGCTCTCTGTATCGCTGATGATCTCAAACCCTTTGGGACCGGACCTGTAGTGAACGAGTCTCAGCTTCCCATTGGGATCCGTATACCCGTATCGACCCCTAACAACACCGTTACCATCTTTGTGCTCCTGATGAAACTGATGGGAGCCCTGGAGTCCCGTATCGTAACCGTAATTATAAGTACCAGAGTCTGTCTGCGAGTGATAGTGTATTGGTTGGTGCACATAGTCGTCACCTAACACTCCCCGGCCGGACACCAGTAGTTGCCAGACCAGTGCCAACACCAATGGTAACTATCAATTTGACCACAATCACACAATATCAAGTTTAATAACAATATACTTTATTAATTTAGATTTTTAATAATAATGATAACTATCTATAATTATCATGAATAATTTTTTTAAATTGTATTAAATTTATTTATTTAAATAATTATGCTTAATTAAATAAAATATTAATTTCTATAAAGTTTATTAGCAAAATTAAATAGTATTAAACATATCTAATTAACATTATTTTAAATAAAAATTAATTAATAATTAAAACAAAATATAAATACCATTCTGAGTGTTGTTATGAAACAAGAAAAATATATTTTCCAAACACACAAATTAGCGCACCATTCATAAATAGTAAAAATCAATCAAAACTTTTTTTTATTTTGCTATTACTTTACAAATATTACCACTTTAAAAATATACACAATATTTATGGCAATTGTAGAGATTGTACGCGACTTTTGATAAATATATTTATATAACGGGAACGGTATGTACGGCCGGAGCGACACATGTAAGCCCTAAAACTCTACGATATATTAGAAGTGAATGTCAGACGAAGAGTGAAAATACAAACGATTTTGTTTTGGCGAAGAAGAAGAAGATATTTGAGAGAAAGCCTTCATTTATTCTCATCTCTCTCTCTCTCTCTCTCTCTCTCTTTCTTTCTATGACTAGAGAGAGAGAGAGAGAGAGAGAGAGAGTCCCACAAACTTATGGTAATAAGTTTGTTAACTGTGCGCCAGTAGTTGTGGGCGAATGTCATAATTATAACGTGAAATCCAAATAAAAAATAACATACATTTGTGTTATTAATTTCAATGTTTTTTTCATTAATCGCGAATACAAAATACACACACGATTTAAAGNTACACGCGCCCGAAGTGCGCGAGAGTGTTATACACGGAGCGCCTGTAGTGGAAAGTCACACGCATACAGAAGTGGCCGCTATTAGCCACCACCCGGTGCCACCAGTGGTCACCATTAACACCCATATGCTGTCACCCATGGGCCACATTAGCCATCCCGTATCACCGGTGGGCGCCGGTCCTATTGAAAGCGGTATAAGGTTTGGCGCCCGGGCCGCTGTACCCCCAATTCCCCATGCTCACCACACCTCCCCATATACAGCCCCATATGCAGCCCCTTATGCACACCCGTCTCTTCCGGGCACCCGACCCATGGTTTACTCGGGTCGTGGTATCCCGAGTCCGGTCGCTAGGCTTAGGGCCGCTGCGGCCGCAGCCGCCGCTTCCGGTAGGGCTCCGGGCGATGGTTTACGGGCCAGAAGTTAAAGCACTTAATAATCATTTCATTATTTGTAATATTAATTAGTATTAATTTTTACTGATTAATATTTGTTCAGTAATTATTTGTATTATAAACTTAATGTTTGCCATAATTGTGGTCATAATATTTAAATTTGAATAAAATATTGCCTAATCAAGAAATAAAAACTGGTAATAAATACCTTGTTTATAACTTAATTTAACTTAATTTTAATATGCCATATATAGCTATAATTTATAGCCTGTAGACTTCAAATGTTATCTAATTTTACGACAAATAATTTTTTTTGTTTTATTACAAAAAAAAAGTTTAATAATACTTTAGAAATACTGTATTATTTGTGTTATTTAAATATACAATAGATTTCAATAGATTACAATAGACATCAAAATATTTGTAATTCATTTTTGTTGTAATTTTAAAAATATCTTAAGATTTACTGTATATTTAACTCCATTTTTAACTATTATAATACAGTTATAAATTATAATAACTTATAATACACTTATTTGTATTATATTATAATACCTTTGAAATAATTAAAATACTTTGTTATTTTTATAAATAGTTAAATAAGGAGTTAAATAAACAGTAAGTTATTTTTAAAGTAAATTACAAATATTTTGATGCGAAAAACAGGAAACCTATTGTATATTTAAATAACACAAATAATATTTCCAAAGAATTTGTAAACTTTTTGTAATAAAAAAAATTAAAATAATTATTTGTCGTAAAATTTTGTAACATTTGACGTATAATGGTTATAAATTATAGCTATATATGGCATATAAAATATTAAAAATAAATCTATTATTTATTAATTATATAATTGTTAACAAAACAATTCACACAATGAAGAGATTCCTGATTATGGGTTTACTTGTAGTCAACATAATGACAGTCAGCGCCGGACTATCTGTTTGTATGTAATTTATTTTAAAATTTACATTGTTTAAATCAATATAACAATTAATTGTTATTGATCCAGCATGTGGTCAAAATGGATACCATGTTAATTGCAAACACAACTGTCCCCGCACTTGTCCTGGCCCTTATGGCCGGCCCCGAATCTGTCCCATTAAATGCATACCCGGCTGCGACTGTAAGCCTGGTTTCATCAAGCTTGATTCCAGGGGTGATCAATGCGTTAAACCTGATAACTGTCCTCGTAATCCTTATGAAGCATGATCATATAAAATGATTATTATATTTAAACTGTTTATTTAAATCATTTTAATTAAAAATAGTTTTAAAAAATAAATATCACTAAATAAATTAATCAATAAATTTTCAACCAATTTATTATTTAAAACAAACATAATTTTGAACATTAAAATTACATTAAAAATTAACTCAACAAAACGACCATGGCGTTGATATCAGTCTTATGTAAGACTTATATTGCGGGTCATACCGAACAAAATAAAAGGATCAAGAGCGGCTATACAGGCGGCGTGACGCATTTTATCAGTCTGATACAATTTCCAGAAAATGTCGGTCAATTTCTTAAGACTTAGCTTACAATTTTGCTTGGTACATTTGGGCGTTGTCAGCGCCTGACTGATTGGCTGCTTGATTAGATCAGACACTACTATTACATCAGTGTTTACAATAACATACTGCCCGCCACTGGCGTCCGTCGAGATCTCTGTCCAAGTGCTGGTCTCAGTGAGTGGCGCCTGAGCCGACACAATCACTCGGTCCAACACACTCACCATCAGTACGGATATTACGATAGAAATAGCCCAAAACTTTTTCATGTAAAACATTTTGAACATGATCACATAAAATTGGATTTTTTAAATTGATTTGTTTTATGATTTACTATTCTGTTTTATTTTTGAATATTAATTGTTACGTGAGTTAAATGCTATAAATCATGCCATTGTATACGAAGTTTGTTGATTGTATGTGTATTTAATCAGGAACTTTGTTATCACGGTTAAACATTTGTTATAACATTATAATGTAATAAGATCGTTTTTTGTTATAATTTGTCAGCTAAATAAATTTTCTAGTTATTGATTGACTATTTTACTGTCACGAAAGGTGATTTTGTAATTTAAATGGTGATTTATTAACTTGTAATATAAAATAAAATAATTATACTATACATAAAAATTGAAATTTTTATTTAATTATTAAAAATAATAAAAACATAACTATTTAAAAGTAAAATAAATAAATAAATATTTAAAATAAAATCATCTATTTAAAATAATCTACCATGAGGACCCTTTCTCATAAGGCGTCCGTATTCATCCATACTTTCATCGAGCTCATCGTCGGGGGTCTTATCGGCCATTACTATAAATTATAGATAATTGTAAATATATTTAATTAAAATCATACCTTGCTTATCGGATAAAAACATTTTCATTAATCTACATTATATTTATGCACGTAATAATATTATAATTAATAAATGTATATAAAACTAAAAGACAAACCTGCTGGTTTTGCCACGACATCATTACCGGTCATATCATAAACACCATTCCCGTAACCGGAATCCATTACGGGTGCGGCGGGAATACCGGAAACGCCAACAACTGGTTTATTATTGTTAGTAAACTCATTCCAGGGCATAGTGTTTCCACTAGGGTCCTTCACCACCACTCCGCCCACGTTTGAGCCTGATACACCCACTGGTATAAAATTACCATTCTCATCTAGGCCAATATCAATCACTGTACCGGAGGGAGCTATGTGAACAAAAAATAAACATTAATTCAATCACAACAAATTATTAGCACATATAAAATAAGATGGTGAATTTACATGTTTGTAATGTTTTACCATTTGATAACATGGGACTCATAACGGGGGCGCCCATTGGGTTGGTGCCCATTAAACCGCCCATACCCATACCACCTGCGTGACCAGGGTGTTTGCCGGTACCATGTTTGCCGGTGCCAGAGTGCTGGTGCCCGTCCCCTTGGCCACCCTTAGCCTTATGCAATTTACTGCCTTTTCTCAGTTTTTTGTGTAATTTATCCCACTTTACATCTTTAGACGCCTTCGAGTTTTTCATCTTTTTCAGACCCATACTCCTGTCCGACAGCTCTGGTATCTCGTACTCGACTGTGCAGTGAAAGTGGTGTTAATTTAAATGTTATATAAATTGTTAAACATGGTATTCGTATGAAAACATGATTGTATTGTTTAAATATATGGTTTGATAATACGTACAGCATATGATTGACGTGAATAATACGCTCAACAATGAGATGTAAAACGTGGCCACATTTGAAATTTTCATTTTACTGTTGGTGAACTTGTTAGATTGTTTTATTTTTACTATAAAAATTAAAAATGTAAAATTCTGGCTATTTTATATAGCATTAGTTTAAAGTTATTTTTTAATAATTCACAATAAATAGGTAATTGTCTCAACACATGTGGATATTAATGGAATAATTACATAATACTGTATTAAATTAATCCAGGTCAGCGTAGTATTAAAATATATTTTGTTAAAGTTTTGCACTAAATGATTTTAAATAATTCTAGTTTATGCCACATAAATGGTCTAGTTTATAAAATAATTACGTAATTAATAATGAAAATAAAAATAATTATATTCATATATTACAAATATTTATATAATTAACTTACCTGTTAGTAATTTTAATATATAATAGAACTTGGTAAATGCATGAGTTTTATTTTAGACTTCAAAATGTAATACAGAAGTAGAATATTATTAGGTTTATTAATTTTAAAACAATTAGTACAGTAATTTATATAGATAACAATATTAACCAAATTAACTATTGCTCGAAGAATCAGTATTAATGTTTTGAAGACAGGTCTACGTAAAAATATAAATAATCATATTAGTAATATTTTATTAATTATTATTATATGGGATTAAAACGTGTTAATACCTTAATCTCGGCGATTGATGTCTTAATGGCCTGTTTTGAGGACTGATCGGTCAGTTTGGAGAACTCGGCGCTAAAACATCTGCTCAACTAATGTAAAAATAAATAATTATATTAATCTAGGTAATATTTAAGGTACCCTAAATACCACAATATAACCCGCGTTGCATATGCACTCAAGTAATGTAATAGGTTCCGTTTCAGTTCCATTAATAGTGGTCTCATTATCAATCTGCTATTACCAAATTGTAGCCAGATAAAGTAAAGAAATAAAACTATATTTAAACTTTTATAATTAAACTAAAATTTTAAGTTTATTAAAACTCATTAAAAAGATATGGCAACAAATAACGCGGCTTATACTCTGGACAATAAGGTATAGACTTATGTCTAAATATATGTTTAAATAAAGACCTGTTTTCTTGAATCCGATTTACAGATCATTGACAAAGCGTTTGAAGCGCTTCCGGACATGCATTTAGTGGCAATTGTTTGCAACTATTAAACAACAAAATATATTATTTATCTCAAAAGTTACATAATATTAGAAAATACATCGCTAGATGCTTTTAGAGCGCACGAGCCCGCAGATGACATAACCGATGGTGAAATGTTATTAGAGTTGCTGCAGAACTTTTTGATAAGCCGTCGGTCAC